TGCCTGGCGGGACATTTCTTGCCTCGCCAGCCAAGATTGTGTCTACACGAATCTTGCCAGAAAGTCAAGATCTGTTTTTTCAGACAAGAATCTTGTACAGAAGGAATGGCAAAAGAATCTTGTCTGACATTCAAGAAAAACAAGAACCTGGACAGATCGAAGTCAAGATCGTCGACTAGTGTATTCTCATCAGAATTGTACCTAAAGTATTTCCATAGAGAGTTTCGGTAAATCAGCACAAAGCAACATTGATACTCGATTGTCATCAGTGAGTTATTTCGATTAATTATCTATGTTTGATCGCAATTTAATATTCTAGAGATTATCCATGATTCGTAACCTCAACAAACATTAAAATTAAAATAATCCATTGGCGAGACATTCATCTATGGATAGTATGAGAAGAGGAAGTCAACAATAAAATGTAGTCTTTAAGAAATGGGTGCACAATCTCATTAGATTTTGCTGTTCAACACATTTGAATGATTTTTGTCAAAAATAGATCTTGACCAATATTGATTTTAATATGAAGTTCGACATTATTATTTTTTTCTTCAAACAGTGCAATATGAGCAGAATTTACCTATATATAACTTTTGATCATAGATTAAACCTTAAAAATAGCTTCATGCTAAAGTTTTACCTTATTGTTTTTAGTCATTAACTCAAAAAAGTATGTATTAATGCCGTTGCATTGTGGGTGTAGGAATTGCTCTAGTGCGAACAATCACTTTTACAAGTCTTGATGTTTTATTAAGTTCGTATATTAAAAAATCTTCGTATTCATGTTTTTTCAAATTCTCTTTTAATGTTTAGAACAGTCGATTAATGGTGCAAGTATTACGACATGTGTGTAGATTTATTTGACTAAGAAAAAAATTCATTCAATTCGTTGTTATTGAAAATTCAATTTGATTTGATTAATGACTCAAATACATTCAATTCAAGGGATGCCTTAAATTTACAAAAGCGATTTCGTTTACCAATAGGAATCATCTCATGTCAAGCAATTGTTCATTTCTACAAAATAAAATCATGTGTTTTGTGCAGATCAAGCATTGAGATTATTTCTTTTAATCCTCGCAATTTTATTTCACATATGATATTCGATTATTATTCAAAGTTGATTCTTCTTATAAAATTCATTTATCGAATGGAAATTTTCACGAACAATATTTATAACAAAGCTATTCGAAAATTGTGCCAAATATATTTCAACTAATTGTTCTGTCTGGATCGACTTTTAATACATAAGCCGATTGGGAAATTCGTCATCATCTTTGATTGTGTCATAAACTTGTAGAGATTTCCATTCTAATGTATCATATGACTTTAAGACTAGAATTTGACGAAAAAAACATTGTTCAGATGTATATCCGAGTTTACTTCTTAATGGATATCTTATACACACTCTTATGCTCGAAAACATCATATATTGTTGTACCGAAAGTTAAAGTAGCTTTTGCAAGTTGTGCTATTGAATAATACATATCTGATATTATAATAAATATCGAATTAGCTAGATCTTTTTTAACAAATAGAACAACATTTTCAGGATTTCGCCGGATAGAAAATTTTGAAAATAATGTTTTAATATTTGATTTATTGACTTTTGATGGTCAATTTGAAGATAAATAAGAGTTTATGAAGTTCAATAGAACATTGATCATTTTTATTTAAATCACTTTTAATTAAATATTTTCTATGTTGAATCGAATCTATGAAATATTTGCTATTTTGTTGTGTTAAACAAAAACATGACGATCAAATTTTAAAACAATCATTGTATTGCTCTTTTAAATTATGCAATTCAGTATAAAGATCTGGATGACATAAACCATCAGTTGCGTAAAAACGAAAATATTCAACCTGTTTTTAGAATCTCTATTTAAACATTCATTTATACGAATCAACATAAACAATTTTTTTCCTGTTATTGAGAACGTGCGGATGAATTAATATGATGCAACATTCTATAAATATCAACTTATTGTTGAAGAATTGTTTTATGACGTAAAGTTAAAGATCGATTATTTTATAAACTATGTCAGATGTCGTTTACCAACAATCAATTAAATATAATTTGTAAATTTGTACGATTGGATTATGGAAAATCACTTGTGAGGAAAACAAAGAACATATATATATATACGTATATGTATAGTATAGTATGTTCATTCGTTCTACTGTATAGCTTGTTACTTTTGGCCACTAAGAACACGAAATATTTGTTTGTGACTTCTTTGTATATATCGATTTCGTGGTGATACAATGACACAAGTTATCTATCAGCCACTAGTTGGTTATAATGAATTATTGAAAACAATCGATAATGGTGGTTTTTATGAAGTAAAACAAGCCGTACGTTTACTAACGGGTGAATTTATGGCTATTAAGATAATTAACCAAACAAAATTAAATATAAGTGATTAGCGTTTTTCGCTTATTTCACCCATTTGAATGCTTGCGTACTACTATTTTGTGATCTAACTCGTATTGCGCTTGAAATGAAAGCCATGAAAGATTTACATCATGAACATATATGTCGACTTTATCAAATTATTGAAACAAATGAATATTACTTTCTTATCTTAGAGGTAATTACCTTTTTTGTATTGATTTAAATTCAAATTTTTGTTATACGTAGTATTTTTGTAATGGTGAATTATTCAATTATATTATAAATCGAAATCATCTCTTCGAAGAAGAAGCTCGACATTTCTTTCGTCAAATCGTTTCAGTTGTTGCTTATATGCATAGGTAGCACTATTGTCATCGTGATCTTAAGCCAGTATGCATATGATATCAATCAAAAAGAAGTAGACGATATAGTGCATTTTTATTGTAGGAAAATTTATTACTTGATCGTAGAGAAAATCTAAAATTGATTGATTTATTTCCAGTGGCGGCGGAGCCATTGAGACAGGTGAGGCTTGAGCCTCGCCTAGATTTCAGCAGATGAGGCTCAGCCTCACCTAGATTTCACAAGATGAGGTTCAGCCTCACTTACTTTTGTACTGAATATTGTTATTTTTTATTTGTGCATCAAAGCAGGAGCAAAAAAAGTCTTTTTTGGTATTTTCCAATCATCTTTTTTATACTGACCATTTTTATTTTTACTGCAGTTCAATAAAAAGAAGACTTATTTTTTGCTTGATGCGTTCATAAAATTCCACGGTAGAAAAAAAAATATTATGAGCCTCACCTAGCTTAATGACGCTCCGCCACCCCTGTTTATTTCTACACTTAAGCAAATATTTCAAGTATTGGTGTTGTTCTTTACGCAGTATCATGTGATGCTCTTCGATTTGATCATGAAAATATAGCAATGAAGAATAACTTGACGTAAAAATGATTTCTGTAGAATGGTATCTATCATATACCATGACATTTATCACCAGAAAGTGTTGCTTTATTTCGTCGAATGCTTCAAGTTGACTCAACTAAATGAATTCGTATTGACAATCTTCTCCGTGATGCATGGCTTATGAATTAGACTTATCCAAACCGTGTGTGAAATAGAAATCTATCAAGTATATTCGATATTTGTAATTCTATCGTTGAGTGCCATTGCTTTTTCATTGAATAGATTAGATCTATCCTGTATACGTGAAACCGCTTTATATTATGATTGACCTGCAAATGATATTGCACAAGAACTTTCTCATGTATGTCAAATGCTTCTTTTATTGAATAAATAAAACTATCAAAAATAATGATTTCACTTGGTTCTGCTAGATAGGATACGATTATATGACAGCGACATATTCTATTGTGTAAAAACCTTAAATCACGAAATAAATCAATACAACTTATGCCGAATCGTATGCAACAAAAAGAGCACATCTATCGCCTACAAATGGAATAAAATCAATAATACGAACAAAAGGAATATCGTAGTGATCAAACATAAAATAAAGAAAATATTGAATATCCACAAGTACAACGTGAAGATAAAAACGTTCGTCCACTATTTGGTAGTGTTCAGCGTGGCTTAAATACTGTTAAACAAATTCTAACAGCTACACGCATTAGTACAAATAAACCAAGAAAAACGTGAGTATGTAACTTTTTGATTTCATTATCGTAATGATTATAATCAATGCATAATATTTTAGAACATAGCTAATATAACATCATTACATATTGATGATGTGGATCAACTCTGTCATTTACTTGAACAATCAATTAAATATAATTCACAACTCAAATATAAAGAAAAGTATATATTAAGATATATAATAGAAATTAAGTAAACTATATTTCAAATACTTAGAAGTCGTTACATTTGCGATGCTCTTATTGAAAATGATTGGGGAAAATTTGTGTTCGAATTTAATTGAAAAATAGTTGCTGAACGAGGCAAAGAATTAGATATTCAACGGAAACGTACAAAAGAATATAAATGGCATTATAGATGATGTTATGGATACATTATCGAACAACTTTATCGTTTTTTACCTCATTTACAAGCATGCGTTTAATTCCACCAATTTTTCTATCTAGTGTTTTATCTGATCAAATTGATATATGTTGTGTAAACTTGAATATTTCAATTCCTATTATTCTTAATAATATATCCGTGTATTGAATTCTTGTCTCTATCATTCAATTGAAATAAACAATCAACGTAGAATCAATTCGTGTTTTTCTTTGTCTTGTTTCGTATACATTTGTTTTTTTCTTAGATAGAATGGCACATCCATTGATCCAAGGATTTAATTTATATAAAAAAGCTAATGCAATGTTAAACTATCGACTTGATCTCGATAAGGAAATTTTTGCAGTCATATCCAAAACATATGGCGATATTCGTCGTGCACATCTCAATCATCATTTCCCGTCAAGCGTTGTCGAACTTTCATCCTGTGAACAATTTAATATCAAGTTTAACGAAATTTTTGAACATCGTGTCAATCAAATTCTTTTCGAGTCGCTAGGAAATACGACACATATTCGCATACATGATTATTTGAATGAAAATCAAAGTCCTGATATTGTATTTTCCATCGGTAGAATCGTTGTTTTACTTTATTAGAAATTCATTGGCTTGTTTTTTAGGTATGCGCATTGCAGTTCTGTTAGAATTACGTCGTCGATTATATTTGGCAATGGGACAGCTTCATAATGCATTCGAGAAATATGAAGAATTATCGATTTATGCACATCAAGTTACAATGGGCATTCAACGCTTGAAAACTTGTGGACCACGTCTACTTGAATTGCCAGTTAATGATACGGTCATGAACACAGGAATTAAAACACCAGAAAGTTTCGGAAAAAATATTTCTGAACAATTAAAAAAATTAGCCGGTTTAACATTTGTTGATGTATCGAATAAATTTGAAGACTTCAACACGTATAATATTATGGCAGAATTAAGTGGTACACTGAATCAACTAGCTGTTAGTTTGAGTAAGATTCAAGACAATCACGTGCTTGTGAATATATGATATTTTTTAATTTGCAGCGACAATTGCTAACAATATTCGTATGTTGTGTTCAATTATAATAAATGGAACACAATATACGGCTATGGCTACGGCAGCCGCGCAAATTATGGGAAACCATATGGCTCTGACTGTTGTGAGTACAATGGGACATGTGGACATAAATTTGTTGAAACCATTGATAATAAAAAATGTCCTTTATTCATTAACAATGTTAAGCTATATGAGTGAAAACCTCTCAAGTAAGTTTTTTTTTCTACATTTTTAATCAATTCTTCTTGTTGTTGTAGCATGGTCACCACTAGAACGCCAAACAGCTCCGATACACCAAGATGGATTACAGTCAAATAGTACTTTACTTTCATCAATAATGGAATCGTGGATAATGCCAACATCTTATGAACCAGAAATGTTCATTATTGATTCAGCACCATTATCGGAAAATATAAGCGTATTTGATAATGTTGGTGGAACACGATCACGATTAGCAGCAGCAGCAACAACAGCAACGCAAATAGTTCAGGATGAACACGGTATGGTCTACATACTTTTTATTGATCATTATTTTCATTTTGTCTTTTCCTTTAGGACCAGGAGTTGAACCAAATACGACATCGCCATTGTTCAACTTGGGTAATATGGTGAACACCGTTGAATCATACATTCTCAACGATAAAAAATCAAAAAAGACGAAAAAGTGTCATGCAACACAACCAAATGTCAATTTACCACCACCACCACCAGCTCAACAACAACAACAACCAACACAAGAAGAAGCAGTCCGACAACTGGCTGAAAAACTAAAAATTTATCCACCACCCGATTCATTGTTCCCTTGATTTTTTTTCTTCGTTTCTTCTTTTGCATTTCTTTTCTTTTTATTTGGAAATAAAGTTGGCAGCTATTACTTGATCCTATCAGAACAAAATCAAAACTTGGTGGTATTCAGCTTTCATTTCGAAACATTAGAAAACACATGAACAAAAATCAATTGAAACCAGTCAGTCAAATATGAATAGACGGAAAATTGTGCAATGGATGTATGAAAGAAAGAAAGAGAGAGAGAGAGATAACAGCATGTGTTCAGCCATTGACAATTTCGACCATTCAACAATGTCTTACTGTTCTTTTCGTTATTGACGGCATCGGTCAAATTGAACAAAATGCGCATTCGTACATATATCAATATTGACTCTTGAGAAATACAATGGACATAATTATCAAACATAAAAACATGAATCGATCATGTCTTCAATTGAAGGATTTACCTGATGAACTTCTTGTGCTAATTTTCAAACAAATGAATAATGTTGGAGTTATGTATTCTTTATTCGGTGTCAATGAACGATTTGATTCAATTCTACAAGATCCAATTTTTACAAATCGTTTGAATTTCTTGAAATGTTCTTCGGAGAAATTTCTCAGCATATTTTCTCCCGATATTATCTTTGGTCGATTTTGTGCACAAATTCTACCAGCAATTCGTGAGAAAATTCAATGGCTTGATGTTGACTCATCAACTATGAAACAAATTCTATGTGCTACTAATTATCCTAATTTACATGAACTGGGCTTATTCAATGTCGAAGAAGGAACAATTCGAAGTCTTTTCACTGGTAAGAACATCTCAAAATCGAATTGATATAGTAGTAAATAAATGATCGATCGCTTAAAATTAACATGAGGATTGTTTGTTAATATATTACTTGTATATTTAGATGTAAATCTTTCATCGAATCTTTTTATAAAACAAATTACCAAACTTCTAATTACAATTGGTGTTGATCTGAAAATGAAGCCTTATTCAACAATGAAATACATCAGCAATCATATTTTTACCGTGTTTAAGAAGTTAACTCATTTAACATTTTCTGAATCATCATATCAAACTATGGTTGGATTATCATTTGCTTATCCACCCATCAATTTTTGTTCTTCAACTCTTTTGGTATTGAATGTTAGGATTGATTCTTTTCCTGTATGTTTATATATTCTCGATGGTCGTTTCAATCAACTTCACACACTCATTATGGAGACAGCCAACATTTTCCCATCGGAAAAAATTGAAAATCAAGTTAGTTTTTGTAAGAGAAAAAGAAATTGAATCTGCTTTTATTTTTCGTCTTGTAGGGTGATATACCAAGTCTAAAGTGTTTTTCTTTGTCTTGTTTTGAGACAATATGCTGTTACGATGAATTGGTTCTCCCACTTCTTTATCGAATGTCAAATTTAGAAACACTCAATTTGTCTCTTTCGATTTCGGTTAAACAAGCATTCATTGATGGATATAATTTGAAGAATAAAATTGTTAATCGGATGCCACGAGTTAATAAATTCACATTCGATATTCATTCGATTATGAGGATTCAAAATGACATAATTATACCAACGAATGAAGACATTCGAAACACTTTCAATGACTTTCAATATACACAGTTAATATGTTACATGGATCATTTTGCAGATAGAAAAGAATGCCAAGGTCATGTGTATACATATCCATCTAAAATGTCATATTATCAATATATATCAAATCAATTTCCAGGTGGATATTATCCACATGTTCGTCTTGTATCCTTGTATGACGAATATCCTTTTGAACATGAATTTTTTCTTCGAATAGTTCAATCATTTCCATTCATGGAACGATTAGTTTTATCTAATATCGAACCGCAACAACAAAAACAATCTCGCAAATCAACAAATGACGCTTGTCATTTATCAATAGCTGAATATTCTCATCTTATTGAGCTTGATCTTGAACGAGCGACTGATGATTATGTTGAAGAATTTCTATCTGATAGAAAAACATGTTTTCGAAAGAACATTCGTCTTTGTGTTATGACTGAAACTTTGTTAAGGGTAACAAAACATTTTACAAGAGATGATACTCGAATGAATTGTACCAAAGTAGGCAATTTATTGCTATGGAGTGAATGGAGATCTTCGAAATCTTTTCAAGAATATTTTCCTTCGCTCAAAGACTCTGATGATTATATTTGTCCGTTTTTTTACTAAAATAAATAAGTATTTTATTGAATGAAAGGAAGCGTGACTTGTATATTCCTGTTAGGAATCGATGTGTATTAAAAAATACGAATGTCGTTGTTACCGTCATATGTTTATTCCTTGACTCATTGACGTTTGTATACTCATTCCCTGACACATATTCCCCGTATATATACTCCTCTTTCTTCAATAATAAAGTTAGTTCCATCGTTATGGTACTCATTCGTCGTTAACATCAAGAAGGCACAGGGATCCTCTAATAGTCGTATACATGAATATTCAAATCTGTAAAAAACAGATTTATTTAATATTCAATAAACCTATCAGTGTAACTTAAGACATTTAATATTAATGAGGGAATCCTAAGTGAACACTAAAAATGTAATATATGTGACTCTTATTTGACTTTCTTTAAGGATTAACATGTTTGGCTACGAATAGAAATAATCCGAAGTATCTTAAACAAATGCTTTATCAATTTGATGATTTTGCTCTATTCAATCATAGTTGCATCTACTAGACGAGATACAATGAATTACTTTAGTTTTTGAGTGAAGATGGATTTTTCGAACTCACTGTTTCTCCTTCAGCCAGACCCGCCCGGCATCACATCGTACTATTCTTTGACAGGTTACTATAACTAACATGCTTTATCAGAAGTATTATTCAAATCCATATACACTTTATCATTCCTTAGTTTTACCTATGATTAGAAAATTGATTGCGAAAATATTAATAATAAATAATCTTATTGATAAATAATGGTCGCAACGAAGTTTTAATTTAGAATTAAGTTTTACGTGTAAGTGTTGTTCGAATCATATTCAAGTCAATTAGATCGATCTATCATCATTATCTCTTACATATGATGTATATACACATTTCAGAATATGAACTCATTGTCAAGCGAATTGATTCATACGATATTGCCTACCACAGGTGTCCACAGGGCCGATTTTATTGCTCTGCCAGGGCAGGGCAGGGCAAAATCATTTTCAAATAATTTGTGTCCTGCCCTACTCTGTCATTTTGGCACCGTGGCCCTGCCCTGCCCTGCTAATTAAGAAGAATTTTTTTCATATTTAAATTCAAGTTTAAGTAATCTTTTTTATTTGAAAAATAGTTCAGCAAATAGATAAATGATCAGCAAATAATAAATTAGCGCTAATTGAAAAAGTGTATATGATGATATTGCATCGTCACTGATGATCCATCAGTAGATCGACTTGTGTAGCCCGCTACTTCGCTGATCCAGTTTTAAAAATGTTTTGTTTCGATATAAACAGATCTCAGCGTATTTTCTGGTACAATTTTTTTACACTGGTTGTGAATTTGGATTTTTTTTTCTTAAAAAAAATTGGGTTTTGGCATCGAAAAGTAAGTTTTCATAAATTGTATTTTCAATTTTGTAACCAAGAAATTTAAAACGAAAATGCAGAGCAATATTGTTACAGTCATATGTTTATTCCTTGACTCATCGACGTTTGTATACTCATTCCCTGACACATATTCCCCCTATATATACTCCTCTTTCTTCAATGATAAAGTTAGTTCCATCGTTATGGTACTCATTCGTCGTTAACATCAAGAAGGCACAGGGATCTCTAATAAATATACCATTCGATGCAGAATTTGATTCCTTACAAAGTGCCCTGTTAATTGTTTACTCACATTCTTCAGGACAACTTCTGAGCGCTTGTACAGTTTCTAGCTTACTATACAATTATTGAGCTCGTATTTTGGATGTAGCAACTAGATTTTTTTACAGAAGGATATGCATGGCAGTGATCAACATATAACCATTGAATATTTTTAAGCATGTTAAGTGCTTCAAATTCGTTCGACAAAAAAACGTGTCACAGCGTTATGTTTGGTTTTTGCATTTTTAATCCGAGCAAAAATAGTTTAGAAAAAATACTTTTTACTGCTTGAAAGCCCATTCAATTCTCTACAAAAAACGGTACCATTAGCATTTCATTTGAAGAAATGATTTGGCAAGAAATTAGAGCTTTATAAGCAAACCTAGAAAAAAGGGTCCTTTTTTGTCAGTGTTACGCGATGATAAAACCTTTCTAGAAGCGCGAGAATTCAGTCGAACTAGGCCACTCTTTCAACATTAATAGATTATGATAAGCTGCGTCGAATGACGTTTGAATGACCTTATTAGCTCTTATACCTTTCGAGATAATTGCAAAACTATTTGTCAAAATATCACAGCATTACATTTGGGCAAGGCGAGATATATTTAACGAAGAGAGAATAAAAACTTCATTTTCATCACCAGGAGAGATAGATGAAATATCAGCACATGAATCTATCGACGATGATAGCGATGCATAGTTTTATTTTTAATAGTTTTATTGAAATAATAAGAACATCAGCAACTATTACAATTATATTTTAAATATATGTGCACTATTATCACTATTATGATTAATTTATTATTTTCTTTTGTTTTCTTACAAACTTGATTGGACCTTATGCGGTCATATCATACAAACACAAATATAACTATCTACTTACCATTCTATAGCGATATCTGGATAGTTTTAGTTTCTTTCACGTTCCCGAGAAGAATAAAATTGCTTTTATTTTCGAACTAAAGTAAGTATATTCAAAATTTGCAGGGCGTGAAGGTATAGCCCTGCCCTGCCCTGTACAGGGCGGATCAATTTTTTAAAAATTTGCCCCGTGTCCTGCCCTGTGGACACCTCTGTTGCCTACCATGAGCGATATATTTAATGAGAACATCAATATGGAATCTTCCAAAGGGGAAACAGCGATTTGTGATTTTGTGATTTAAAATGAGTTTAAATGATTTAAAGCATTCTGTTTCTTACTTAGAATTTCGGATTTATTGCGTTTTACATCATTTATGGGACAGATGACTGAGATCTAAAGAATTTATATTTGTCGTATTCAGATTATTTCTTACACTGAATTAACGATCCTTGTTAAACTCTCTGATGAAACAATTAATTGAAATAGAAAAAAATAAGGATATTTATCATCTTAAGGTAGCTTTGTTTGTAGCGAATATTCTCACACTACAATATACCCGTATAGATATATTGTCATATTTCGACTTTTACGTACATGAAGTATCTTTTCTTGATCAGATACATTTACTATTAATTCGAGATGGAGTGCATGCTAGTTCATTATCTAAAACAATTGTTTAAACCGAGACACTGTTCTTGTTTTCTTATGATAGAGATACAATATATATAAAAAACATACAGAAAAAATCATGTAGTTTGTTGAACCCTTTTCAATCGATCTGACGACAATATGGGTCTCGTTTTTGAAAAATACCAGTTTGCAGTCTGTTTGTGCATATATTTGATACGACCATTCAGTTCAACGGGAAAGAAAGAGTCAGCTTGAGAATTGTCGATGGAATCGAAAATGCGCATTCCTCGAATAGTAGAACGAGACACCTTCGGAAGAATATCAAGATCAAAGCCATCGATGGACGTTGATTCGTCATGTTCATCCACGATGTCACTTTCACTACGTTGCCTGTTGGATCGGTGTTGTTCGTTATCTTCATCTTCGTCTTCATCTTCGTTTTCATCATCGTTATCATTTGATTTAATATGTTTCTTGTTAGAAGTTGTACATTTAGATCTTGATAATTTTTTGTATGCTAAACGATTTACTTCTTCGAAAGATATCATCTTATCATATGGATTAAGAATAGACAATCCACAACCAGATATAATTTGATTAGCTTTAAGATAGGCGCTAAAAACTGTGTCTTCAAGTGGTTTCTCTGTAACTGTGATTGTTATTGTGGATGTTAAACGTGTTAGAGAAGTTTTTTTAGATTGGTTATGATGTTTCGGAAATATAATATTATTTTCTTTTGATTCAGAAGACCATTTGATACTTTGAAGAACAGCGAGCTTTTCAACACGCTGAAGAAATTCGTAAACGGAGAAATTAACAACAGATGAAAAAGGACCAGACATTGATCGAGCTGCACGAAATGTGCTTTCGCACATTTGTGAATTGAATAATGCAATGTTTAAAGCTTCTTCAGTAATTTTCTGTTCTGCGTACAGTACAACAAGATATGTTAGGCTATGTGCATTTAATTCGAGTGAGAAAAGAGCAGGTATGGTGATGAAGAAGTTTCTTTTCGGTATAGGTTCATTGAAAACAGTTGAATGAGAATGTGAAACTTTTTTGTTAAGTTCGTCGGAATTAGTGGTTTGCAGCCACGCAGACCATATGCGTACTATAAAGACTGCACATCACGCATTGTAAACTCGATCAATGATATTAGTACTTTTCTCGACGAAAGCCGACTCAATGCATTTTATGATCTATCAAAAACAATTTATAAATTAGGCGATTCAACAACAGTCAGTAACGAAATAGCATGGGTAAAATTGTTCAACAATTTTTCTTACCATAGGCAATTTTTATGTAATTTCACCTATTTATAGTAATGCGAAGGAATAGTATCTCCTCAATATAATATTTAATAATTTTATGTAAAGAGAAACACAAAATATTACCTGTAAATAAGCTTGTGTAGCTTCAGAGTTCGAAATAGTTTTAAGTGAAGAAAGAACAGCATCACTTGTGATCTTCTCACATGATGAATAATTTTGTTTGTCCTTCGGGCAAATATCTGATAAAGTTAATCCATGATCGATCTTTGAACGGTTGTCAATCAATTGTATGAGATGATCAATGTCGGCATACCTATCTCCCACTAACAAAATTGTTGTTGAAGATAAAAGGCGATTTCTTAACTTAGTGCACAGATGTGGAGCGTCTTATAAACACACAAAAAGTTGTCGAGATTTTAAAAAGAACCATGAGCTTTTCTAAGCGATACAAATCACAAAAAGATCTGAATTAATCCATACGAGCAAGTGTTGTTTGTATTGCACTAAAATAATAATATTCTTTCTTTCAAAAACTTTATAATAACGTAGAGATCGACAAATTTTGTTGTCATATTCCTTTTTTATGACTAAAAATGAAATATTAAATTCAAAATGACATTAGTTTTCGTTCTGAGAAAACATGATTCTTCGCACAAAACTAGATCGAAAATTAGTTACGATTCTCTAAAAGATCGAAGGAAAAATATATATTTCTTTAATTATAATCCTTTACTAAAACTTCGATCAATATATATCTAAGATTGTTCTGAATCTCAACACTCATCTATTAAATCTTAATGAGAAAAACTGTAGTGGATATTCATTTTTATTATCGTTGACTATCGATATGATATCAGACTTGTACAATGCTAAAATGTTTTATATTTCAGAAGTCATTCGATGTGATAAGATTTGACAATTCTCTTTTAACTAGAATGAGTTTACTGTATCTTACGAGTGTTCAATTGGAAACAGTTTTATTTAAAAAGATCAATGTGCTAGTAACCAATAGAAACAAAACACTGACTCAATCGATTAATATTGATTTAATGTTGAATCAATTTTCTTCATTAGAACATTTCTCTAAATAATCTTTAGTTCATATCAATTACCAATAAAGAATTTTGAATTAATAATAAATCGGTTCCTTGATGATGATTTTACGATATCAGTATGACGATCTAAGTATTATTTTAGTTTAGAAAATATTTCTGAAATATATGTAAGCTTTCATTGTTATGTTACTACATTTATTACCCAGTATATACTAAATACTAAGATTCCCTTTATTTTTCATTGACACTACTTATTCACTCGCTTTAAATAAAGAAATTTTGAAATGATCAGGATGATATTCAAAACCGGTGTGTTCGTTGGAAAAGAATCCCATAGAATCACCCATTGCTTTCATCTGTTTCGGATCACAGTCTGATGAAAAGCCTAAAATTCGGATATTTTGAGTCATGAATGAATCAAAAATTTTTGACCATCTGTTAAGAATGTCTCGAGCTGTGTATTTGCTATTTGTACCATAAGCAGCAAGAAGAAATGGTGATGGCGATGTTCGATTACTAGGACATACTGCTTGAATAACATTTGCGTTGATTAGAAACGATTTGTCGATCTTTTCATACCATTGTTCAAGTTCACCAAATGAATTAGTAGAAAAATACCGAGAGCAAGGAAATCCATCTTTAAGTGGAAGTGTAAATCCAACGAAAGAGTTGGAACGTGAATCGTAACAGACTTTTGATACGACTGAAGTACTATCTTCTCCACAGAATGCGTACTTACAGTCCAATAACTCGATAAATTCATTGAAACGTTCATATTGAAATTCGCCTTCGATGAAATATTTTTTAGAAGAAGTGAGGATCGATCGTAGACTTGTTAGACTAGGAATCAATCCAGGAATATTTAATCGAACGAAATCATAAACGTTACGCCCTCCCAGAATATACAATGATACAGCATAGTCTTTCACGGATTGTTCGTAGCGATATAAATTTTTAGAACGGGTGATGTTTGATAGCATATTCGATATAAAATCCAATGGGAAATCAGTCAATAACTGCAATTCTAAACAATTAATAAGATCGATCAAGAACGGATATCGTTGAAGAAGTTCAGATGAAATTGTTAAAGACTTGATATTTAATGAAGATGACGAACCGGTAGATGAAAGAAAAGTACGAAGTGAACGAGTAAACTTTTCAAGTTTTAAGCGTATACCTGGCATAACAAAAAACGAATATTTGCCGTTATTATCTTTGCCTGTAACGCCCAAAAATTCTTTGATTGATGTTGTTTGATGTGAATCGATTTGAAGAATGGAGAATGCATCGTCGACCTCAATCAAATCCACGGAAGAATTGATCATCTGAAACTTGGGTAATTCAACCACCTCCTTGCCACAAAACTCTTCGACAACATCGTAAAACGAATCTCCGCGGAGCGAAAGTACATCAAGCGGAAGAATAAAATTCATCTGAAATATAGAACTATTTTTTAAAAAATATGTCAAAGAATAATAGAGTATAAAAATGGTGCATTTAGTCAGCTTTGAAAAGTCATATGGTTGCATGTGACGATTCCTTATTGATGACACTGTCATTTTAATCACGTTCAGACATTATGACAGATCGGAAGAAAGCGAAAAGCATCTCATACCAAACATATATAAATATGTACATATATATGACTATGAACCACCAATAAATTTTCAATTAACGTTCTACAAAATTTATAAATGATTATAAAAAAAAGAAAGCTGCGTATAGCTGTATTGAGACAAAGAATAATCTTTATTCCTTTTTTCGTATACGAAATGAAATATATAAGTATATTGATTTGTGAATCAATTTATTGTTGCTGCGCTAGGGTAAACTATCAGATTACTACAAATTAATTTTTTCGTAAATGAAATGCTTCTATATGTGATAAAATCCGCAAGAATCGGTAATCGAAATTTGTTTGATCCGTTAGACTATGATTTTTAATATCATATTTGACTGCATACCGTTATTCAATTTGTACGTGCAATATGTTATTCTTATCAATTTAAAAGTGATCGTTCGGATATTATTTCTCTTTTATGACTGACAAGATTTTGTATGAGACTATTGCTTTTCTCCAATCTGCATAAAGTTTTGCTTGAGAATGTTGCCTTATTGTTGAAATTTGAGAAAGATCATCTGAGATATTTATGAAAGAAAAAATAAAGCATAAAAATGTAGTTAACCTTCATCTGGATTAACAAAAATGCTTACATAGCTGATATATATATATATATATATAGTACACCAAAAACATTATTAACGAAAGAAATACAAAAAACAAATCTTGAAATCAAATAAATAAAAATCAATAATCGCAATAGTTCCAGCATGTTATGAATTTTTTGTTCGTCGTCTTTTAATACTGCGGTTATTAACATGAGTTGCATTCGATACACCTCTCTTACGAGATAAAGTTTTACTTGATTGTGTTAATGCTAACGATGACGGCACTAAAGCAGTGGAGTCGTTCGATAAAATATTATTGTCGATATTGTTTTGGTCGGTTTGTTCTACATTGGTTTCATCAATTAACTTTTTCAGCATAATTGAACAAGTACGTCGTTCTAAATGCCGATTGAAATTCGAAGCCTAAAAGCAGACATTAAATCTTTATGTAAAATAACTAATTTGCCTTTATTTCGATTCATTTTATAAAAACTGTTCTTTAAAGAATTTGCAGCACTCTGTTATACGTAATACAATTCCTTATCAAGACATAAAGACAAAAAGTTTTCGTTTCAGTTTTACATATATACGTGAAGCAGATATTCTTTGAATTTACCAGAAAAAAAAGATTCTTTTTGTAGTGAACTTCTCTTATTTATCGTGTTTTGCTTAGCAATTTGGGTACGTATTATTTGAACTTTTCAGCGCGTTCGAGAATTACATTATCTGACTTTATTAAATACGAGAACAGTCAAAGTCGATAGTGAAAAACAAGTTTCATGTGCATTTTACTCAATCTGTATGTAGTTTAATAACTATGTACAAAACTAAAATTCAAAATGGGAAATGTAAATGATTACCTAATAAAATCCATTATTAACTGTGCGGCACAAGGTTGATCTAGCTCCACATTGACATATAATACACGCTGACTGCTCACCATTACTTTCATTTCTAAATTCTATCTGGTAGTCCACGCTTTCTACCAATGTACTTTCACTCTTCAAATTAAATTCATCTCGATGATTATTGTACCATTGCCGNATCTAAAGAACGATAGAAGAGAAAGACAACGCGAACATTTTCGACCATTTTGTTTCAGTTAGATGCATGACACGAGTTGAATTATATATATATATATGTATATTTTTCGGTTTCATTCATTCTAATCTATCTAGCAAAGTACGGACAAATGATCATTCGTTAGAAATGTTATTTTTTAATCGAATCAGATGTCTTTCACCGTAATCGAGAAAGAAGAAATACTTTTTACGTAGTAAGACGCTAAAATAATATATAATGACTATAAATCAGCATGATTATCGCTAATTTAGTTAATGGTATTAAAAAATTTTAAATATTACTTTCATATCAATATCAAGCTTCATTATAGTTTGAAGCCTTAAAAGAATTTTTTTCGATTATAACCATTGATTGAAGATGATTTAAAGTGATTTTTCTGATTTAAATTGAGTTAAGCTGATTTATGTGATTTAAAATGAGTTAGACTGATTTATCTGATTTCATTTTGACCTTTAGTTGATTTAAATCCGCTGTTTCTCCCTTGAATTTATAGCAGTCGATCATGGTCCATGACTTTATCTCTGATTAATGGTGTATCAAGCACTGACCGGTCAACATATGTCAATCGTTTGTCCCACTTCTTAGTGCCCTTTAACCTATTCAACATACTAGTTGCTCGTTCAGGTCAGCATCAGGATTATTATCTTAGATTGCTAGGTATTTTCGAACTATATATTTCTTTAAGAACTCTGTATTGTGATGAAACATTCAGCAAAGCCCCCATTAAAGTCAAGTATTGTTGAATCTTTAGAAAGAAAAGTTAAGAAATAGCTTTATTCTTCCCGGTTGAAAATTACAATGCTTTCCTTATGAACGTTTTCGTGGATAAATTTTCCATCCACTTCCAGGCTTTGAATCAAAAAGATTGTTTTAATCATTCATGTCACTGTTAAAGAATATTCAACATCTCTCAATTTTCCATTATTTTTCTTCTTCAAAAAATTGCACTTTTTTCATTTCTCACTAAAGCTCTGAAAAAGATATCATTTCACAAACAATCAAATTAATGTGATCAGTTGTACGTGGAAAACAAAACAATTCGATTCGACTAACATAAGTTAATCTAACAACGTTGAGCAATATATCGAAAGTAATCCAATGATATTAACTTAGTATTATTACTCGAGTGGCTATGAATGCTACATAGAGCGATGAGTACTAGTTTTTAAAAAATTAACTATTTCATATTTTTAAGATGAGCATAAAAGTAAGTGAAACGAAGGGTGTGACCATGAGCAAAGAACTGATCAGAATCTGAATAAAATTTTGGCAGAAAAGCTTAATTCCACAAGCTCTTTTATAAAAACTTATTTGGGTTTCTTGTTATTTTTATTATGAATTATTCTTTATATTTTAACTAGTTATTTACTTTAATCGTCTTTTTGTTTTTCTTAGAGTGAACGTATCAATAAATTAATCCATAACTCTAATGGAAAAATTAATGGATTTGTAATAAAATATGCATCACCTCCAATGGGTGATCAACGAGTGTTCAAACTGATTTCTGAACAACATAAAAAATTACAACAGCAATTGTGCGAGGTATTGACTGGTTCGTCTCTATCTACCCAATAAACAACAGCTTTTGGCACCCTTTAAAATCCTTCTTTTTTCCATATACGTGTGCTTGTTTCGTGTTGTCTTTGTGAATGTGATCTTGGAGATTGTCAAAAAACGTTTTGCCCCGAAGTATAGCTCCAACGATAAATGATATCAACATCGAATTTTATACCTTATGGAAGCCCGTAAAAAATGGTTTCTACCCATACGAACGAATAAGGGCTACAAAGATTTTTCTCTATCGAACTTTGATAATTTCTAGAAATGCATGAACTGCAGTCATCACAAAACTTTATTTATCATATAGAACTCAGACTACCATCTCTAATATAAGATGACTGAATCTAGGAATGTTGGTTTTATTTTGTACCATTCATTAAGCCATAAAGAAGATAAGAATAACCTTTCTAATTATGTTTAGCAATTTTATAAAAGAGATAGTTTGAGTTCTATATGATAAAGGATAGTTTTACTATGACTATGGTTCATGCATTTTTAGACATTATCAAAGTTCCATAGAGAAAAATCTTTGTAGCCCTTATTCATTCGTATGAATAAACCCCATTCTTGGCGGACTTTCGTTTGGTATAAAATTCAATGTTGCTATCATTTGTGGTTAGAGCTGTGTCTTCTGGACAAAACATTTTTGGCAACCCTGTATGTTGTTTGTTTTTGTGACTGTATGTTTCATGATATGAACATATTTAGATAATATGAAAACATAGAGGTAAACAGTTTCTTTATTTATTTGAAAAAACCAGCAGTGTCACATATTCAAGATTTTGGAGATGCTACAACATCTCCCGCGTAAGATGCCACATCTCGAGCGAGAGACACGGGTGTGGGCGTGTGGGATGCGCATCTCTAAAGGAGATCTTACATCTCCAGCGGAATACGCGACATCTGCTGCGGGAGATGTGCTGGCATCTCCAAAATCTTGGATGCGTGACACCACTCAACTTTTTAAAAGTGACTTAGAAGGTATTGAAACAGTTGGTAAACGTGGCCGAAACCAAGTTCGTTTAACAGCATTTATATTTAATATCCTGTGCAAAACAGCAACTACAAGTGAGACAATGATAAAAGTCACCTATACATTATAAATTTATCTTCTGTATTTAAAAGAGGAAGATATTATCGGCCATATTCGTTTAGAATTTAATGATAACATTCAACATATGTGTGTGGAATTAGATCTACAATCAACTGGTGTAAAACGACAACTTTATATTCAAATTACATGTATTTTGAAGAGTAAAATAAATAAATAAATGTTGGCTTTTACATTCGATATTTGGTAAGTATAAAGACAAGTTATGTTAATATTTTATTGTATTAAGTAAATAAATAATTACTATAGATGATTCTAAATGCAATTATCATGTTACAAAAACAGAGGAACCATGGAATCAATACATCGAACAAAGTAATCTATATCATTGAAATTTTTAAGTAGTGCATTAGATATAGAAAGAAGTATTTTTGTTTAGAATGTGATTTTATCGAATATGGCTTGTTTAAATCATTGAGATCTCATGCAAACCAACTATGGATATCATCTCCTTTCATTTGTGCACAACAACAAAAAATGTATCGTCTTTCGGTAATGATCATGTTCCTATGGAGAACAAGATTCTACATATGAAAGCATGAGCTCTCACAAAAGTATTAACATTCATCAAAGAATAAGTAACACTTTCAGTAATGAACAAAGATATAATCAGAAAAGAACAACAACTATGGATATCAATCGTGAATCATTGGAACGTACTCACGAAAAATTTATTGAAAGATACTATTCAAAAACAAACGTAATTTTAGAACAGGCATTCATAGTTAACAGTAGAACTGCTCAGACAATCTATAATCGATTAAAATCGTTCGGTCCCAAAAAGTTATTTATAAAGTAATTTCTGCAGTTTTATTTTTAACAAAAGCTCTAAGTACACAATTTAAAGATTGCTTTTCTTTTCGGAAACGATCGTCGAGCGGCTGATTCTTTGTTTTGAAAAACAAACTAATTATTTGTTTTTTTGCGAAAAAAAAGATTTTTTTTGTCAATTAAAATGCGATTGCTACGAATTAAGATGCTGGTTTTTTGTTGTCAGAAAAAAATGATTTTTTTTGTGCATCTATAAGAACTAGCGTTTTCTTTTACCAAGTTTTTAATGCTGTATTATTTTGTTGTATTTAAAAAAACATGATGCAATGATCATAATCTTTTATTTATCAATTTGACAACGATAGATAAGTATCTTATCAGGTTGTGCAATTCAATTAGATGAACGATCAATATAAATTGGTTTTCTTTGACCTCGCATCGGATCCATTAAGGACTCTCTTCGAGAATGTGATTATTTATGGATTATCATTTCGAATGAGTGAATTCATATTTTTTTCCTTTTTATTGAGAAATCAATTGAAGTGTAGAATTTGTAAAACATCTATTGTAATTGGTGAATTATACATGAAGCCAGAATACAGTTCAAATTCATCATATTATGGCTTTTTTCTACACCATTCCTCTGTGCACACTCTTACCATGCAGTTTTTTACTATTATTATAATTAACTCCTAAAAACAGAACTCCTATTTGATAAGGGCTGGGAAAACGGTAAAAGCTGATAGAAACAGAATATAAAAGTTTGTTTGCTATGGTGCACATGCGATAAATAAGGCATCAAACAAAGGACATATTAGCAGTAGTAGTAGACGCAAATAATTCTTATGAATTACGACACATCATTGAAACTATTCCTACCAGAGTTCCAGTCAGGTCAAACTGTACACTTAAAAATACAAGGCTGCTTGACCTGTCTGTATTCTTTATAAATATAAGTTTTTTTTAAAGATTGAGGGTAATGCTATTGATTGGCAGAAGTAAATAATAATGTTCTGTCTTCATTGTATTTGATCCAGGTGATGACTAATGTTCAGCTCAAATCCCACAGTGCCTCTTCTTTATCTATTTGCTATTCATGTTCTCATTTATATATATTTGTTTTATTATTGATTTTTGTTAAAATCTTTCTTATCGATTATTGTTCAGATATGTATTATTGGCAGCTAACATCTTTATTGTTTTTGTTAAACTTAGCTGTTAACATTTCAATAGTCTTTCTTCGTGAAATGGGTGATATTGATCTTTCAACTTCCATTTCTATTGATGATCTTCCATCTCAGTTCAAAAGTAAAACAAACTAAATATTTCTATTCTATCATAGAATTGGTCAAGAATTTTGTGACCCCTCTCCCCTCAATTTTCGAAAAATAGTCTTGCATTGTATTTCACAAAATGAAACCAATACTATTCTAAGCACGATTTTATAAGTTACCCTCAATGATGTTAGATGTTAAGCTAGAAAATCCAGAATTCAAATCTGAAAATCCTGTAAAACTCCGGAAACTGTAAAAATTAAAAAAACGCACATATCCAAAAAATCTCGAAATAGTCCTGAAGAAATTTCAAAAATTTCAGAAAATCTACAAAAAAAAATCTCGATAAATCAAAAAAAATCAAAAAATTTTCAAAAAAACTCTGAATAAGCGCAAAAACACCTCAAAACTCCAAAAAATTCTGACAACCCACTAAAAATTCCTGAAACATCTCGAAGTTTCAAAATCTGGAAGATCTGGTAACACTAGTTACGCTCCCAAAATTTTTGGAAAGCAGGATTTTTTGATTCTCCCCACCCCCACCCGTAGTAATAAAAGTTTTCATACTACGTGATTAATATAAGAAAGCATTAGCAGTGCAGAGAAAACAGCGTCTACTATAATTTAATTCTTCAGTAAAATGTTATTTTAATGTTTTTGACTTATGGTTCTCTTTACACTACGCTGCGAATATGATTTGAAAATTAAAGATATAAATATAATCCATATTATGCTTTATAAGTGTTCTTTGAGCAAAAGATCGACCGCTTTTTCTGCTAAAGCATAAATGGTTAAACAAGGTCCTGTTTTCGAGGCAAATCCAGCTGGAAAAATTGACCCATCGACAATCCTAAGATTTTTTATTCCATGAACTTTGAAGTTACTATCAACCACAGAATTCTGAGCATTCTTTCCCATGCTGCATGTCCCAATGAAATGATAACTAGGAGTTAATGTATTTTTAACATACGTGACCAAGTCCATTTCTTTCAATCCTGGTAAAATTTCTATGATGGGGCCGAACTTGTTTAGCGCACTGGTTGACATAACTTTCCGTGTGTAATGTATACTGTCCACGAATGTTTGAAGATCTTTTTTGTCTTCAAAATAATCCATGCTTATTTTCGGTGGCGTTAGTGGATTAGCATTGTGAAGTGAAATGGAGCCGACTATGGATTTCGGTGCAGCATTTAATATCACCACAAACAGTCGCTTTGATTTTTCGTTCATTTTTAGAATAAAAAAAGTATCAGGATTCAAATTTGTTGTAGGCACATGAGTATTGACTAAACCAACTGGTATTGATTGATTTATAGGAATATTTTCTGCACTATATTGCATAATTAACACACCATTATCCATCAAGTTTTTACCCACTTGTCTCAATTCATGTTTCACTGGAAGTTGGTGTTTTTGAAGAATGTCAGGATCACCGACACCAGACAGCATGAGAAGATGAGGACTGTAGAATGCGCCAGCAGACAAAATATATTCTTTTCTCGCGACACCGTTAAAAAAGCCATCCGACGACATGAACAAAACGCTATCTATGTGCTTTGTTGCTTCATTCAAATTGAACTTAATGGCTGTAGCACTTGTCATAACATGAAGATTCGGATATTTGGCCATAGCAGGATTCAAATACGCATCACCACTCCAACTTCGAAATCCATTCGTAAACGAGGAGGGTTCGAATGATAAACCATGATCGACAGCATCTGCTAAATCCTCACTAAATATTTCATTGACCTCATCAGCCACACTTTTCCATACATCGTGGAATATAGCATCACGAGCTTGGGTTATTTTTATCGGGCCACTGTTTCCATGAATGTTGGTGCTTCCATATGAGCGATTCGATGTAAAGTTTTCAACCATCTTGTAATATTCGGACATATTCTCGTAACTGAATGATGAATCCCCGGTTGCGTCAAAAAATGAATTCCAATCATTCGCCATCATTCTTTCCATTCCACCGCTGTTAACGCTACTTCCTCCAAGCGTGTTCCATACGGTGACATCCAAAGTTCGGTTATTGAGATTAGGTGATGAGTCTGCAGGCAAATAATGTTTGTAGAACAAAGTACTCTCCAAGCGATCGAACTCCGACTGTTGCCTCATTAAAACATTCGACGTGTCATTTGAGCCACTAGATACAAGAAGAATTTCAAAACCATATTCAGCTAATCGAGCAGCTAAAATGCATCCAGCACTGCCTCCGCCAACGATTAAGAAATCAGTCACAATCACTTGAAGTGGAGAAGACAGCATTGTTTTTGCTTCCGTATTCTCTAAACATCATACTGTCAATATTTTCATGACCAAACTCAGTTTGATTCAAATAACTGAATAAGTACCGATTAAAATATTAACCTTTAAGGGTGTGGATGTGGATGTGGAGGGGTATGCCTGTATTTGTTAGATCCATAGCCTTACACCCACGTCCACCCACCCTCAAGTCTGTCTCCCAATAGAGCCAAAATATTTCATTGTACTCCAAAACTTGAAATCCATGTCCAGGTGGAAGCAGCCGGCCGGGGAAATATCCGGATTTTTCCTGTTGGTTCCCGCCGGAAATCATCGGAAACCACCGGGAAAATCCGTCCCGGAATACTGCTTCCAGGGTCCGGTGATATCCGGCGTTTTCCTGCACGTTCCGGTGCGTTTCCTGCATGTTTCTGGCCGGTTCTAATTAAATCCGCTCATTTTCGGAGGCCGGAGACATCGTCCTGGGTGAAATAAAACGAAGTACTTTGGCTTTATTGGTAGATAGACATACTCTGGCTGAATTCCCACTAATATACCGTAACACAAGTAGATAGTAGGCTTGAAATAGGGTAAACTTATTGAAGCATAGCTATCGTACAACCTGGGAGTATAGGGAATAGGCTGGAGTACCGGAGTCTCGCTTTCCCCCTTGTTTCGAGCACAATCACTGGTCTAGGTTAGCAGTCCATATGCATGTTGCTATCCTCATATAGTTATTTGTTAAAAAAATTCTGGTCCGAAGATTGGTCTTTAGCTCAATCATCCGTGTCGGCTAGTGAGAAGGCAGATTTGTTCAAACCCACGTGTAGAAAAGCATAAAGTTTTCTGTTTCTTGCTGAACTGAAATTGTAGACACGGGCTAAAGCAGTAAGGCTAGTTCTTTAGTTCGAACTATGAAAAATGCCTGTCAGAAACTGAAAATTCTTACCATTAACGAATGAACTGCAGCCGCTGGGGCATTCTAGAATGAATATCAAGTAAGAGACATTCTACTTGGGAAATTTCATTTCTATACTTGTTTTAGTTTTCATCGTATAATTAGATATCACGATGGAAAGGAAACAGGCGATCGCCAACGTGCATAAAAATAAAACGATCATTGAGATCCTGCCCAAACTGCATCGGACAATGCCATTTTCAGGATTTCGTGACTCCATAGTAGCTGTCGTATTGAAAACCAAATCAGCATTCGATGGCATTAACGGGGATGATACTATCATCAGCGCAGTGACTTCTATAATGAAATACAATTTCTTTTTTGCCCAAGTCAGACCTTTCAGACTTCTCAACAATATCATTCATGGGAACAAGAAATGTGACCTCATAATCTTTTGGGTCTGATTTAAAAAATGGTAAGGCTGGCAGGTTGTAGTTCTAAGAAGGCTAAAAGGGAGAGTCAGGTCAAATATGTAAACCACCTTCTACTTAACCTTCCCGAGACTAAAAAATCGGAGTTTAAAGTGAAAGTTTAGCACGGATCAATAAAGCTGCTCCGATGCATCGTTGCTAGGCATGGTATGAAATATTTCTATTGCGACGATTGATCAAAACGAAATTGATTACTGCCTAAATAACAATAACAATACATTCTCATTCTTGAGAAATATATTTTCACCGAATTCAATGCTAATCATGTCAAAATCTAATGCCTGGTTTGGAGTTAAGTGGATCGGAATTGGCTTGTACTTAGTTTTGGCAGGATTTGAGGAAGATTTCAAATGAATTTTACTGGTAGAATTTCATCAAAGGTAATACAGGCCTAGCAATCCGACTCCACAATAATTTTTTCAACTTTATACCTCACTTTTTCATTAAAGAAACGGATTTTTGTGGAAGATAAAGCTACTTTATAAAGCTTGATCCAAATTAATCGTGTTTGTGGTATCCAGTGTAAATACCGAACTCAGGTTTTATGCGTTCAAATGCGTCTCGACACTTTCTTCTTTGGAATCACGTATCTAGTGAAACATTTCTTGCTTCTAAATAATTCGTTTTATGTCCACCAGAAAATATATATCTACATTTCCTATAAAATTAATTCAGTCTGGATAATGTCCAATCATAGAAAAATTTCATGGTTTTCTTATCACAAAAAACAAAACAAATGCATCTTTTAATATAGCAGAATAGGTGCCTCAAGTCTGAAACATTGATATTCAAAAATTGAAGCTACTGAAATTTCCGCAAAAAATTAAACTATTTTTTAAAACGAATACTTTGCATCGTTACATTTTTTTTAAAAATTATTCAATTCAATATATTTAGTTCACAATTTTTTGGATACGCAAATATATTTATACTTACAACAACTAGTAATTAAAATATCCCATGTGCACACCTTTTTATTGATACTTGCATGGTTAAATACGTTTCTAGTACTATGAAAATAAAAAAGGAGTTTTTCAGAACCTTTTTATGGGTTTTGGTATCGGGTAAAACGCAGAACCTTCAAAAAAGGTTCTGGATGAAAATATGGTTCAGTAAAGAATAACGAAACCATATCTGATTTTTATTCAAAAAAGGTTCTGCTCTACATATAAGGTGTTTCATTATTTAAATAGTTTATCGTTAGTATTTCGCTTATACCTATATACCTATGTCGATATTCTTATAACTATATCCTTACAACGATATTCTTATAGCTATATCTTTATATCTACACCCTTACCTATACTCTGTATCGTTATACGAACCTACAAGTAGAAATTATAATAAATATTTATTATTATTTTATTTTGAATTCAACTTATATTATTTGGTCAGCATGAATTTAGAATGAGAAGGAATACTAGATTTACTTATGGATGCGCTAAAAATGATACGTACCTATATTGTATGTCGTAATAAGAACCTAAAAAAATAAATTAAAATAAATGTCTTTATTATTCAATTTTAATTCAACTTATGTTTTTCTGCTCAGCATGAATCTAGAATGGCAAGGATAATTCTAAAGCAAATGTCAACCTTTTTGACTAAATCGCTTAAAACCTTGATCAATAAATAGCATTACTACGGCATGTACTTAAGAGCTTTAACTCTAAACCAAGTCAGTTAGAAAGATAAAAAAAATGCAATAACAGTGATCGATAGCTACACAATTATTGAAGAAGTCAATATTCCAATAAATAAAAGTAGTTTAGATGTAACCAATAAGCGAACTAAAGAGAAAAAATAGTCAATCTAGATATGGATCATTGTTATTATTCCGAATTAATAGTGGATGATGACGCAATCTTTAATATGAGAAAAAGATGAGTTGAATTTAGAATTGAATTCGTAGCATTTTTTACTAGCTGATTTATAAGATGTTATTATCAAGTTCAAATCATTTTTTTTTGCTATATTTATTTTTAAAAAAATGAACTTATTAAGTGTTAGCACAGAAGATGATACGCGTAAATTTCAGCTTTTTATTAAAGGAAGAACTATATCGTGAATTTAAAGATTTTGTATTGAATATATGAAAAGCTCGAGTTTTTATGCAAATATTTGAACTGAGTGAAATCCTTTTATTTTTGCAAAATTAGTTTTCGATTCGATTATCAGATAAATTCCAATTAAATCCTACCTGAAAAGCTAAAATGTTATGCTAATGTTTAAACGTATCGTTAGATGCAGCTCACAGCCAATTGAACGAAGTCGATTGGCTATTTTTCATCTTGCTATTTAACTAGGTAGTAAAATGTATACCAACAAATGAGCTCCCGACAGTTAAGCCTCACAAGATTGAAATTTCATCGATTAATTATAGAACACAATAAATTAATATTGGATCGTTTTATTCACTGGAAAATAGTACACAAGAACATTCGACATCTTTTAATGCTATTGATGACTTACTAATATATTTTTCGTGGTAAGTCAATGATCTTTACAGAAATGAACAAGTTTTTCGAATTATATTTGTATGATTCATAAAGGTTTCATCATTCTTGCTATATTTTTATATTATTATTAACAATGTCAATTGTAAAATCTTCGAAAACCAACGATCAACTTTTACTTAGTGGTTATCGGTATCGTCGTGCAAATAAATCTCAAATTATTTGATGTTTTTGTTGAAATAACAAGTAACGCGGCGCAAACGTCGCTGGCCCTCTACTGAAGGAATGTGATATTGTGGAGCATACTGTTTCAAACCAACTAACAAGGAACCTAGTATTATATTACTATATATAGGTAGAAGGAGGTAACTTAGTGGAATAGTCTGTGAACGTATATGTATATCTATATAATCAAATTCCTAAAAACTAGTAGAAGTACATTCTAGTCATAAAGAAAATCGTCAGTGGAGATATCTTTCACCGCTCCGGGTATTGATTTCATAAGGTGGAGAGTTTTTCAAAAATATTATTTTGTTTCGAGAAACTTTGTATATCATCAATTGAACTTCAATCTGAATTAGAATGGAATCGAAGAAAAATTGCTAATATGTTATATATATATATATTGTTACAGCTCATTTATTTTCCAAAATATAAATCAATCTCTTATGAAAATTTATTTATCAGTTTCATTAAGCAACATTATTGTTAATACATGACCATTGCATTTTTTACTATTAGTCATATGATGATAAAAAGGAAACACTTTTTTCATGAAAGGTGTCTAAGTAAAATTTTTTTACAGTATTCGTGGTTCACGTAGCTCTTAGTAGCTAACAGACGAAATTCAAGAAAAGTTAATCCTATTATTCGATATAGCATGTTTTTGAAAATAGTATCATTGCCTCTCTTATTTGATTTCAATAAAAAATGACTTTCAACGAATAAATCAATGTAATCGGTACTCATCCAGAAACAATGAACAGAAGCAGCTTTTATTGTATCTTTTTCAATAAAAAACTAAAAATTATTCCAAATATACATGTATACGATTCGTGCTCGTTATTAGAAGCACTGTCAAAAGATTAATTAGAATTATCGATAGATCCTATTGCTTACAGTGATCTTTTAACTTCGATTTTGAAAATAAATAACCTACATAATAATTATCAATCTAAA